GCTCAGTGGTGAGTGCTTGCCTTGCATGCGCAAGTTCCTGTGTTTGATCCCCAGCCCTGAAAAAAAAAAAGCATAATACTAAGAAATTACTAAATGCAAATGTCAAATTATAAATGTTAATAAATGGCTGACAAGTTTCAAAACAGATAATTCTTTTTCAAGACAAAAAGTTACAACAAAACCAAAACAATACAGCAGCACAGTTTCTTCCAAGGCAAGGATGTGAGTTAATGGCCACATAGTGGTAAAACTGGGCTCTGTGGTTGGGATCAACTGATTCACTGAAAGTATTTTAAGAAGATCATGAATAACCACATCATCCTGGTTTCTGTTAAAAAAGTAGTATGTCAGCAGAATGTCAAATTCTTAACAGTTTTTGATTAGAGCTATATCTGCAAGACCTGGCAGGTAGTAGGTGCTTGATAAATATTTGTTCACTAAATGACTAAACAAATAAGCACACATAGCTGCTTCAATAAAGGTTTTTTTAATATACAAAAAAAAGTTACCTATTTAAAGGAATTTATAGGAAAAAAAATCTACCAATGTCAGAATTCAAAGACAGACAACAGAAGAAAGGCAGGAGGGAGAAGTAATGTGCAACAGCAGTCTGATGGAGTAGGTCTTTGATAACTACTCCTCTGCAGTAGAGAAGCCTTTCCCAAGCTGCAGCATATAAGACACAGAGGCAAAAGAGTGCCCAAGGGGTAGTCTCCAGAAATAAGTAAGGTTAACAGTGGGCAGGTTACAACCCAAACAAAAATACACATGTACAATAAAGAAAATTAGGGTCTTTCAGAAAACAAAGTCTACCAATACATTCAGCACAGGTTCTCCTTTGCACTGTCTAAAGTTTGATTTAGACCTATGCATCAGCACTTCCTCCTCAGATGCCTCTTGGAAACTCCAACATTTAGCACACTGTCTGACCCGTTCATTGAAGCATGATGAATAGGTGGCATCCATGAAATCGTGTGGTACTAATCACATTGTGAAATGGGAAGATGCAGTGGGTCATTCCAGACACTGTAGCTCCACTGGGCGGTATGTTCTCCGGGCAGCCTCCAGGATCCCCACCACTCCCACCAGGACCTGGGCCAGCCCTTGCTTCTTCAGGCAGTGCCTGATGCTCTAAGGACTTTTAACAGTACCTTGGTGCACGAGTTAAAGTCAACATTCGAGGCTGGCTTTGCTTCACTCAAAATTCAGGAGTATGTTAATGATGCAGATCAGGAAGAAATTCAAACTGGTGTTGATCGATGTATTCAGAAGTTGCTGGGTATTGCAAGACAGACAGAATGCTTTTTTCTACAAAAACAGATTGCAACTGGGGATATAGCTCAGTTGGTAGATGCACAAGGCCCTGGGTTCTAATCCTCAGCACCACCAAAAAATAAAAATTTAAAAAAAAAAACAGACAGGTTGCAGTTGTTGGAAATCAGAGTAAGTTATCAAAGATGATGTCTAAGAATTAAGGAATGAATTGTAGTGGAAAGATGCGCTGGAGAAGAAGCACTTGACAAAGCTGAGGCATTGGCAGCAGATGCTGGAGGACATCAATGTGCAACACAAAAAGCCAGCTGAATTCCCTCAGGGATCCTTGGCCCACCTGGAGCAGGTGTCTACCAATATCCTGCGCCTCTGAAGCAGACCTGAGAGGGGTCTGTTCCACAAGGTAGGCCCCTGCAGACAGTTTTGCCAAACTTCCCTCTGCGTGGATTCACATTTTAGAAAAACTATTTGCTAGAGAATGAGTTGATGTTAATTTTGTAAATTTCCCTGAATTTTTATGAGCTGTTAATTACTTGAGTATTTTATAAAAATGCCTATAGCTTGGTAAACAAAGTGAGGTTAGGTTCTTTTTTTTTTTTTTTTTTGATCTGTGGCAAAGTTTAGACTACTAGTTTGATGACACAGATTCCTGCTTTTCTTTTTTGCTTGTTTTTAATTTTTGTATGACTTTACGGTTTTTTTTTTTTTTACAGTTGTTAATTTGTTATGATCTAGTTTGGTTGTAGGCCTTTCATGATAATTTGTTATGATCTAGTTTGGTTGTAGGCCTTTCATGATAACTACTCGTCCATGGTAAGTGTAGAAAAATATGTACATTTGTTGTCACA